GCAACTGAACACATTACTTTTTACAGCTCACAGGGGAGGAAATTCACACAAATGATCATTTAAGAACTATCATGACAGTTTTTGTCAGTTAGTAAAGGACTCAAGGATTTAAGACTCTTCCCAGTCCCTGAGATTTACCTACTTGCAACAAGCACACTGCTTTTCAGGTATTTGCAATAACCTGCATCACATTTACTGCTTAACACCTCCAGCTTCACTGACTTCCCCAGTCTTCCGGCACTCCTCTGCAACTTTCAACCACCTCCCAATACATTCCTTTCATACCAAAAGAAATTACTGTATTTCTTCAATTGGAAGGACTATTAACATCCATTAAACTCTCCTGCACTCCCAACCATATAATGTCTTCATCTCTCCTCACTCTTTTTTTTCAAATACCAACTTCCTATTAAGTGTAATCCTTCCTTCTGAACATAGCTTTGGTTTCCCCACAATCCACCCTCTAGAAAACTATAATTTTAATACAGAATAAATTTTAAATACTGTGTATAATCTTGCAGAAGCTTTATGTATAGGACATATCTCGAAAGAACTCCGAACCAAATCGCTTTAGGCTAAGACAGAGGTATTGGGAGCTGTAATTGTAAGCACATAGGGGCTTTCTACATTTAAAGGATGGCAGACTCTGGGATGGTCTAGCATTCTATTTTGCATCTATCTACCCATAAACACACACACACACATGTATGTGCACATATATATACACAAACAGGCATCTCACAGGGAGGAGGATGATATGTCAAGTTTTAAAGTATTACACTGGTATCATAAATCAAGCAAATACAACCTTAAAATGGCGAAGCAGTCAGGAGAGGTAGTCTGACACATGTTGCGAGGCAGCCTGGAACAACCATGAACTGTGCAGTTGCAGAGGGTGAGCTTCGTTACTCCCCAGGGCAGACTTTGAAAAGGTTTTGTGTCCAGACCTTTCCAGTCAGGACAGCAAAAGTACAATTCTTAAAATTAAAGTACTGTTTCAAAACATTCTCATTCTGCAGCTATGACTCAAGAATGAATGGAGCTTGAATTTATCAAAACGCTAAAGTAACTCCTTAACCGGGGAATACAATATCCTTGCAGAACGGTGAAGTTGGTGTCAAGTGTCAAGCCCAGCACTTCCTACTAGGCAAAATACAATTTGGATTTTTGGTTCTGCAAGCTCAGCCTTTTACATAAGAAACGTGATCTAACCTGAAGTAATCAATCCTGATAGGTAAAAGAGAAACGCCTTGTTCATCTAAGCAGAAAGCCCCAAGGTTATGAAAACCTCCATCATTTTCTGCTCATCACTAAACAACATGGTAAGGAACATGCCTTCTGACAGAGCCTCAAGCTGCTACACAAAACCATTTAAAGATGCAAACCTTCACAGTGAAAAATCTCCTCTAACTCTGGAGAGTTACCTATTCCACAAGACATGCAGAGGAAAAAATATGGAGAGAAAAAATAATAAGTAAAAAAAGAAACAAAAAAAGGAGGAAGGGGACACACACACATAATGTGGGAGAAATGCCTCATAACTCTACCAGGAAAGCAATTATGAGCAGATTACAATTGATTTTCTATCTATGCTAACTGGAAATGACTACAGTTTGAGACCAGGAGGCAAGAAAAATGACTGCTTCTTGTTACACCGTCTCACATCTGCTTTTGTTATATCCTACCTTTAACATAAAATTTAGTAACTAAAATGAAGTGTCAATTCTTTCAAGCATAAAAATATGGGTTTGTTCAATTAATGGGCTTCTTGCTTCAAACATATGGTAGAAGCAGTACATTTATTGTAAATATTTAGTAAGCTTGAAGACAGGAGGCATTTTAAACATAACTATACATACGTAACACGAGATACAAAGCACCACTATACAATAACTTAAGTCTGAGGTCAGAAATATTTCAGTCTCTTGATAGAAACAACTTGCTGCAGAATTTCTTTTTCTTACTTCAGGTACAGTTTTCAGTACCACAAGACAAAACCTGAAGCATTAATTGCCTTGATCACTAATAAGGCCACTGGCTAGCTGCCATGGCAACAAACACTATGGAAATGAGTGAATGATGAAATATCTCTTGAATAACTTAAGAAAACCCAACACTTATCTGTGACTTCCTAGCTACAAGTGGGACACTGCTTCACAGAACAGCAAAAGCAGCAGAATAGTGTTTACAGGACAGGAAAAAGAGGAGGTTCACACCATGCTTCTTCTAACCTTCCTCTTCATTACTATAACCCCTTCCTACTCTTTCTTACTACCGCCACTCTCTTTCAAGCATTTCAGTTCTCAAGAATTATTTAAAATACAAGCTACAAAGAGATCCATGACTGAAACCTCTTTAATTAAAAAATAAAGCGCAACCAGCAAAAAAACCCTACACAGACTTGAAAAGTTCAAGGTCAGATTTGTTTTTTGTTTGTTAATTTGCTTGTTTTTAAATTACTGGTTCAAACCAGAAGTTATGGATGTGATGCAGAAAATACCAAAACAGATTTTACGACTTATGTAATGAAAGAAGTCAATCATACATCTCCTTCATACTGAATATGGAATTGCTTAGCTATACGCATTTCTGACTACAACAAAAACTGACCTGAGCCAAGCAAGCTCCTTGTTTCACCTCCTGCTGACTTCAAACTATCCTTTTTCAGCTTGCTTAAAGGCTATTTTCAACTTCACATAGGATGTATAAGATTTCATAGAAGAAAATCTCATAAGGTTTTCAACTTACCTATATAAAATTGAACAGTAAACAGTTTTCATCAAATATTGAACAGAATCTCCAATCTCTTCAAGTCTCAACTGCAAGCCTAGTTTTCTTCAAAAGATTAAACAGACCTGGAATATCACTAATGTTTTTAAAGGCTGGTACAACCCGGAGAATCAGGCAGTGAAATCACTCCATTGGACTGTGCTCAGCTCAGCAGTCAGCCTGAAACGCACAATCTACACAGATGAGTCAAGTCTGGATAATTCCTTCATGCTCTGTCAGGTTGAGAGTATGGGGTTTGTTTTTAAATTGCATACCTTCAATAAACTCCACTTCTCTTTGCATTTACAGTACAAGACAACATTTTTAAAGCGTGTTTTGATTTGCAGATGCCTATAAATATGATTAGTGGAGCTCTGGCTATCAGGACCTTATCAACAATAACTGCCTTTTGAAAAGAATCACAAGTAAAGGTAAATATTAAAACCACTGAGTTACTGCTGCCCTCTGGAAGTCCAGTGTAGTAATAAAAGTGTAATAATAACTATGTTGGATTAAAACCATGAATGCAGGAAGGTTTGTGGAGAGACAAAATACTTTTAATTGGTTCAACTACCTCCATCAGGGAATAAAAAAAAAAAAAAGTTTCTGAATTCTCAAGACTAGTTGACGTAATTAATAAAAAATAAGGGGGTGGGGAGAGAAAACACAAAAACCTTTCCTTATTTCCCTCGAATAGTCGCAAACGTGCTTTAAGCTAACATAACGAATTCTCTATTCACTACAGTACACTCCTGTTGAAGATACTTCACTTGAAGTATCACCAGACAGAAAGTATAATTCATTAAGATTTATCTAACACGGTACTGGAAGAAATGGTACCATGAACTCACTGGCTCACACCATGGGCAAATGCAAAGCAGTAAGCAGACAACGGAAGAGAAAGGACCCTGTCACTTAGAAAACTCAAAACATACTTAAATAGTTTATTTTCTTTCCAGATCAAAAGACTATGCTACTGCTATTCTAAGTATGCTGTTAATTGCATTAAGAGCTGCAATTATGAATTATGTCTTTGCTTTGCAAACACAGACCAAGAGGACAAGACAAACAAGACATTTCACTACATCTGCTGCTAAAGAAGTGTGGTCTACTGTTCAGTGGGATGGATTTACTTAACCCAACTTTCAGCAACACCATCGCTTAAGGGCTATTTGGCCCTACCAAAGCTACGGAAGCAGTCAGGCACAGGAGTGCCAGACAGGGCCACGGCCGGCTGCATGAGGTGCTGCACAAACACAGCCCAGCAGAGTTTCCTCCCCCGGGGGCATTATAAAATAACGTCACTGCTCCACAAATACAGCCGTACATGCCTAGCGCTGTTATGCAGACATGCCTGCAGAGTTAGGTCCAAAACACACAGGTGGATGAAAATTAATTTTTAAGATAAATTGGAACTTAAAAGCTACGGCTAGATCTGAGAATGGTGCAGCCAAAGCTTCAGAGGCTTCTGCCTATTACGGTTTGGTTAAACGGCACAAGCTGCAACTTACGCAGCCGGTTCTCTCACCCAAAGTGAAGAGAACAAATCTCTACTGTTCTCAGAGGATTCTTAAAAACAACCCAACCAAACCAACCCAAACCCAACACAAATTCGTAAGTCAGAAGCAGGGTAACAGCGGGGTAGGTAGAATACCTGAAATAACTTTTAAATCCCTTTCCAGGTCCCCGGTACTCCGGGTACGAGTGTCCCCCGGGACAGCGGCAGCTCCAGATAGCCGCGGTCGTGCACCCGGGAGCAGCCCCGCGGGCAGGCCCGGCTCTGGGCTAGGCACGGCCGCTCCCACCGGCTCGGCCCACGGCTCCCGCCGGGGTCGGCAGCGGCCAGCTCCAGGAAAACTTTCCGTAGGGGCCGGCCGCGGGGCCTGCCGAGGAGTGGGGATGCCGGCGCCAGCCCCCTGGGGTGGCGGGGCAGGGATACGAGGCTGTCGCCTACCTCCCCGCGCAGCACCGGACGCCGGCGGCTCCTCCCGGCCGCTCAGCGGCCTCCGCCGCCCCGGCGACCTCCGCCGGGCGACCTCGGGGAGGCGCCGGGGGCAGGGCCGGCACCACAGCTCCGTGTTGACACACGCGCCGGCTCGGCCCCAGCAATGGGCGGCGCCGGGGCGGAAGCGCAGAGCGGGCATTCCCCTCTCCGCCATCGCCGGGGTCCGCCGTGCATCCCACCTCGGCCCATCCGGGGCCGGGTCTCCCGCGGCCCTGCAGCCACCCACCTGCGGGCTGTCGGCAGCCGCATACCGTGAGGAGAGCAGCCGGCCCCGCCGGCGTCGCGGGCAGGAGTAGCGGTGGAAAGGTCGCCTTCACCTCGCCTGCCGCCGCGCCTCCTCCCGCCGCCCTCCTCATGTCCGGGGCGCTCCGCGGGGCTCTCAACCAGCCCATCGGGCGCCCTGCCCGCCTCCCGCCGCGCTGCTAGGAGGCTGCGCCACTGCGGCCGGGCGGCACCTGCTGCCGGGGCGCGACGGAGCCTCACAGAGGAACAGCCCGAGCCGGCGCTCGGCCTTGCGTGGTGAGGGCCCGGCCCGGCCTGGGCAGCGGTCTGTAGTAGTGGGACACGGGTCACCCGCCGTGTCATGGGTTCCTGCCGCAGGGAGAGGGCTGCCGTAGTAACACCCTTCCGAAATGCCCGCACGTTACCGTCCGCGGTGGGGCTGACCGGTGTGCCCGGCGTGGAGGATGTCCAGCCGCTGCCTTCAGGAGATCTCCGGGTGCTCGTGAACATTCACTATCTAGGTCTCCCCACTCCCTACTGCCCCTGGCTTTGCAGATGGACAAAGAGAGGCTGGAGATCTTTCTGTCAAGGATAACAAACTGGGTCTGTGGCGGAGTTGGTAGAAATCTTAATTTCCGTCCCATGCTCTAATTATGAGATGTTTCCACCCACCCCGCAGTTACTTTCATGCAGATGAAGGAATGTACCTCACACCATCCCACCCTGCCTTCTGTGCTCTTGCCGGGGTGGCTGGGCGCCAGGAGTCTGCTTAGGAGATATGAATGAAGCGCCGGCAGTGTGATCACGGCTTGCGGGCTGGTTGAGTGTGTCCTGTGCAAGACACGACATACAGCTATTGCTACTTACAGACTGGAAGTGTGTGTGTATAGTTGTTACTGTTCTACTACTGTACTGAAGTTTATAAAAAGCTCTTCTAGTACCCAGCAGAAAATGGACAAAATTTCTGCATCTAGTCTATGCAAATCCTACATAGAAATATGATCCTGAAGGGCCACTTTTCAGAGTTTATTTTTCCAACAAAATATTATAGTTTTGTCTGGACAAAAGGTTGTAGAGGAGCCCGGCTATACTGCTTTCCCATACATGGTTCAATAAACCTTTCCCCTTCAAGGTGACATAGTCTGTAAGGGTGATGACACGATTTTGTCTGTTCTCATTCAGTACAAGATCTGTCAATTTTCTCAGTGTATTTCATTCCCATCTTGAGGGTTCAGCTCATGGTGCAAGAGGCTGGCTTTCTCCTTTGGTTAGTTATTTAGCTGTGCAGAAGGAGTTTGAGATCTCTACTAAAAAAAAATGCTTGTTCCCTCAGTCCCAGATATGCCGATGTTGTTTAAGAGTCCAGAGACACAGAGTGGTGTCCAAATGCGACTATGAATATTAATTTAATAGAGGAAATCAGGGAAAGCAAGACTAAATAATTAGACACTTGCAGTGGTACTTTGCTGCTTATTGTGGCAGCCTTTGCTGGTGATGGGGGAGCATATGAGTCAGTTAAAAGCACTGCAGTGCTGGAGAAAATGGTTCTCAATTATCAGAATAAGAAATAACAGAATAATATGGAGTGAAATTGATTCTGAAACTACTTAAAGTCACAAGAGAATTTCACATTTTTTTCCTTGGTATACCAGAGTCCCAGCTGAGTTTGCCTAAAGGATCTTTTTGACCTCATCTCCTTTTGAGAAGAGATTGCAATTCTGTAAACCTATAGTACCTTTGTAATTTATTACAATGTGCTACTTACAAGCATGAGTTAAGTTTGCTCGAACGTGAGGTTTACTCAAAATGAAGGAAGCTGCTTGATGTCACTGCACTGCACATTGGTGAAACCTCATTTACTCTATTGCCTTAGGAAGCAAGTTGCTTCCCGATTAAAATACACGTTCAGTTGTCAGAATCCAGGATTTTTCTGTTCTGTGACCACAAACCCCAAATACGGCAGTAGTACCTTGGAAAGGGGGTTGTAAGCATTAAAAGACTTCCTCTGCATAGGACAATCAGGAGCTGGGGACTCATATGCCTCCATGACTTGCCCATCTCTCTTTTCCTCTGGGTTTGGTTACCTATTGTATGTCCACATTCTTTCCCACATCACCATTCTTCAGGTTTTGCTGAAACTCAGGATTTCCGTAGCTTCCCTGGGACTTTCACATGTTGCACAACACTTTCCTGGTCAGTAAACGGTGGAAAAAGTTGTTGTTAATGAATGAGAACACACTTGTGGGATTAATCATTACTTAAAAACAAGATGAGGGAAAACAGGACCAGCTGCCCCATTCTGAAACCAGAACCTCCTTTATTTCCAGAATAAACTACAATGTAACAATACAGAATAGCAAAAGTTTATAAACAATGCTTTTTCTATAAAACCGGCCTCCCATACATATTAACTCTCTTTACCTTTCTATCTTCCTTATGGTGAATGTCTTGTGAAGTTAGATTTAGCTGATTTGCATCAGCAGATTTACATCACAGTTACTATTTTTTTAATTAAAAAATACATGCGTATTTTCAAAATTTCTTTACTTTCTCAATTATATTGTGCATTTAATCTGCCATTTCTCCTTTCCCCTTACAAGCTACAGCTCTTTTCCATGATTTGAATGTTTTCTGCCTGTGACATAAAGACTGCCTCCTTTATTCTTGCAGTTGTCCAACGGGCTGGTCAGCCTCTCTAACTGAATCTACTCCTCACCCTCTTGGCCTGGGAAACCTGTGCTTTCTGCCTCCAGACCACTTTTCAGATAACCTGTGCCCCCAACTCTCTTGATCCAGCTTGTTCTTGAGATTATCAAATACGCCAAAGCAGATAACTGATTTCAGCATAATATCACTGTTAGTGCCTGTTGCTTTTGTCTTCTTGAAGAGCTGCTGCTTCACTTTAAGATCTTAAACATTAAGTCTACTTGCTGGCTTTCTACTTTAGTCGTTTGAGTACCTTTTGCAGTTAGACCCTTATCCTTTCCTTCCACTTAACCACAGTTATGGTCCCTGGTTCCAAACTGACATCCTTGAAACATCTAGATTCGTCAGTTCTTTGTTTAGCCTCCACCTGGCATTATTTTCCCTTTTCAGCCACCACATTTTGTCCATTTGTGCTGCTTCTGCTGTTATTTGCGTAGAAAAGCCTACATACCTTGTATGACAAATCTGCTATGACAATGTACATTTTGTTAATTTGTGTTACCGCAGCAACTGAATCATGCAAAAATGTAGTGTTACATTGTTTGGTATTATACCTTGATATTCTAGTAAAAATCTAGAGAAACATAGTCTGTGTGGAGCTACTATGGAGCTGCAGCTTCACTAGGTAGGCAAATGTGCCTGCAGGGTAGGTATCAACAGCTGGTGGCAAAATGTGCTTACTAGGTAGGGTCCTCTTGGAATCTAAATCCAGTTCTGTTCAGTTCTGGGAGGAATTGCAGGCATGTTGCAGGAGGGGATTAGGATCCTGACAAATAGGAAGTGGTCTAGAAAATATTAGGCACAGGTTGGGGATACAAATTTAGCTGCTGAGGCTAGGCACGTATAAAAATTTGCACAAATTTAGGACAAGGAACAATTGTTAAAAAAACAATCTTCCAGAAAGGAATCTGGAGTCTTCTGTAAGTCACAAGCTGAATATGAGTCAACAGTATGTTTTCATGGCAAAAACAGTAAACATCCCAGGAGGGTGTATGTGTGGGAAGTGATCCATGCACTCTATGCAGTATTGGTAGTACATCAGTGGAAGGGCTAGTTTTGTGCACCATAGCTCAAGAAGTACATAACCAACAGCAGACAGGGTAGGTGGCAACCAGCATGAACAGAAGACTGGGAAGGCTAAAGGAGCTGGAGTTGTTCAGGCTAAAGGCAGAAGAAAGACATGCTAAGAAGTCTTCATATACTTAAAAGGCCATTGCAAAGAGAAGAATGATCTGTTCTTGGTAGGTAGGGTAAGATGTAATGGACTTAAATTGCATCAAGGACGAAAAGCTTTTTTAATGGTAACATTAGAGAAGCACAGCTTTATATTACGGAGAGTGTAATAGTGTCTCCATTACCGGATGTCTTTAAGTATGTACTGGACAAATAGTAGGTACTATTGATCTGGCATTGGAATTGGAGGATGGACTAGGTCACTAATCAAGGTCCATTCCAGACCTATTTTTCTGTGATTACATATAATCTGAGGCTTCTCATTAGTCATCATTCCTTTATCCAGTCCCATTGTACATTTTTTTTTTTTCAGGTAGGATCCCTAATCATTCCTTTGTTCTTTGGAGGACAGAAAAATGTTTTGTCCCATTTTTCTCTGAACATAGTCGAAGACGAAAGCCTTTCTCATTTTCCTGGCAGCCTGCAACGGGTACAGACTGCTGAGTTGTACTGCACTGAGCTACTGAGATAACTGTGATGATTTCATGTGAGTCAAATGTGCAATAAAAATTATTTAGATACCCATTGTCGGTCTATTCAAAGGCATTCTACATAAACACTACATAATGTTAACATAAATCTGAGATTCTTTAGACATATACTAGATAAAATTACTCAATTCATAAAATGTTAGTGTATTCTGGACCTACCTAATGCTCACAATCCTAAATGCTTCCATCTTCACTGTCAGGAACCTGTAGTAGTTTTTAGTATGAACTGTACTGTGTTACTTATTTTCTAGGCATGATTTGGTTTCATGAAGTATTGCATATTTTTTAAAAACTGTAGTTTAGCATTTACTTCTACATTTCAATTTAAAATAGCTTATACCAAGAATTGCCTTTTGTTTACTTGCCAGATCTGATCAACAGACAGCATTCCTGATAGCTTTTTATTTTTCCAACTATCTTATCTATTCTAATTAGGTATTACTCCTTTCTGCAAACTTTTGCTGTTATAGCCTTAAATCAACATGGCTGTGAGAGCAGACCCATGCATATTTTGGGCTCCCTAGAATAAAAATGCTGTTGCAATAATCGCCAATGCTGAATACATTATTTGCTGAGCTTTTAAAGACAATGATGTCCATCAGGAGTTTAAACCTACCCCTTTTCCCTTAAGGACAAGTTTGGCAAATTGTATAGTCATTTTATCCTTTCAGAGAATGAGGATTTTCCTCCTGTATTGATTTCTTGTTAAAGACTAACAGTATGCTTTTCTACACAGAACATGTGTTGCCCATGTGCATGTGCTAATCAGAATATTCGTAGGTGATGTGGAAGAAGAGGTGGGTAAGAAAGTGGCAACATTTCATGATAATATTGGATTTCTCAGAGTCATAACAACTAAAATCCAACCATGAAGAGCCATTTGCTTCACGTGAGACAAAAGACATTGGAGTTGTAATGAAAATGTCAGCGTTCAGCCATGGCTGAAAGGAATAGATATCAAGAAAAGAATAGGAAACAGAAAGCATCATTAAGCCACTGTTAATGGTGATGCATTTTTTTGAATGCCGAAGCAGCTCTTGCCTGCATATCTCAAAAGAGAGACAGCAGAACTAGAAAAGAGCAATATGGATGATCAGGGATATGGGACTGCTTTGTGCTGAACTTTTTGACCTGGAAAGGACACAGCCAAGAGAGGGTATGAGAAGGGCCTGTAAAGAATGGATAGCACAAAACCCATTAATAAAGTACCTGTCTCACTATAGGACTCAGGGAGTAGCAGATAAAATTGACAGATGTCAGGTTTCAGAGAGGCAAAAGGAAAAAAATCCCTGAAACTACCACTATTTTCAGCATCATAAAATCACAGATACCAGGTTGGAAGCCACCTCAAAGATCCAACCTTTCTAGGCAAAGCATGACCTAGACGGGATGTCCCATCGCCCTGTTCAGACAAGTCTTAAAAGTGTCCCATGTTGGGGAATCCACCACTTCCCTGAGGAGATTATTCCAGTGGCTGATTGTTCTCATTGTGAAAAGATTTCCTCTTGTGTCCGACTGAAATCTCTCCAGGACTGACTTGCTAACTTGTATCCATCGCCACATGTCTTTTCCATCTGACTCCTAATAAAAAGGGAGTCTCAATCTTCTTTGTAGCCCCTCTTTAAATTCCAGAACATGGTGATAAGCTCTCCTCTGAGCCTTCTTTTCTCCAGGCTGAACAAACTCATTTCTCAGCCTTTCCTCATACAGCTTCCCAGTCCTTCAGTCATCTTTGTGGCCCTTCTCTGGACTCCCTCAATCCTGTCCACATCTTTTTGTATAGTGGGGACCAAAACCGAACACAGTATTCCAGGTGTAGCCCGAGAAGCACTGAGTAGAGTGGGATAGTGACTTCCTTATCTGTGCTGGTGATGCCCTTGTTGATGTAACCCAGCATCCCTTTGGCTTTCTTTGCTACAGCAGCACACTGTTCACCCATATTGAGCTTGCTGCCTGCCAGGACCCCAGAGTCCCTCTCTACAGAGCTGCTCCCCAGCCATGCAGATCCCAACATGTGCTGCCTTCTTGGATTGTGTTTTCCCATGTGCTGCCTTCTTGGATTGTGTTTTCCCATGAACAAGACCGTACGCCTGTCCTTGTTGAACTTCATATGGATCGTTAGCCTGCTTTTCCAGCCTATCCAGGTCTTCCTGAGGGTAGCTTTCCTGTCCAAACTGTCCAATACTCCATTCAGTTTGGCATCGTTGGCAAACCTGGTGAGGGTACTCTGGATCCCATCTTCCAGCCTATTTATGAAGATATTAAAATATTGGGCCCAATATTGATCCCTGTGGGACCCCACTGGTGACAAGTTGCCAGTTTGAAAAGGAGCTGTTCACCACCACCCTCTGGGTACACACAGTCAGCCAGTTCCCACTGCACAGACCCTTGTCCAGACCATAATGTGTCACTTTCTCTAGGAGGAGGCTGTGGGAGACTGTATTGAGAGCCTTGGAGAAAGAAAGGCTTTCCTTGGCTATCCACTTGCTTTCCCTTTCAGAAAGCAAGTGGATATATTCACGGAATAAAAATCCTCCTAGAGCTGTTAAAAACTGAAGTGTAGAGATCTCTGTTTCAGCAAGTCCCTAAGACAGCCCCAAACCCCAAGTTCCAGCCCTGCTGGGGCCCTTATACATTTGTTTAGTTCTGTGCTTGGCAGAGGACGTCTTCAGCTGGGTGCTGTTGAAGGAAGGTCCTGGGCTGTACTGAGACATGTCCCAGTGTGAGCATGTCCCAGCTGTGCTTGCCTTGCAAGCACTATGGGAGACACTTAGCCTGGGGAATGATCAAAAGAATGAGCAGGAGACAGAAATCTGCCTTTGATAAATCAGAGCTTTTTTTAAAATTTTTGCTTTTAGTA